TTTTTTTTTTTGAAAATCGCGTGGAATCATCAATCAATCAATCAATCAAAATGTCTATTCGAGGTCAAATCAGCAATCGATTTATTATTATTATTATTATTATTATTATCATCTGAGAGTCGAATTGCAAAAGTTTTATTGTTGTTATTAATATCATCATCATCATCATCATCATCAATTAAATAATGGCGGGAAAAAGAAATTTTATCGACGTGAAAATGACGTGACGTAACGTGACGTGTGGTGGAAATCGTCGTCGTTGTCGTTTCCGTTTTTTTTTCCCGCCAAAAAAAATTCTCACATCCTCCCCCCCCCGCGTCACATTATCACATATTATTATTATTATTATTATTATTATTATTATCCACCATTAAACACGACAAGGCTACTTGTCGGAGTTTTTAAGTATTTATCCGAGGTTTCTACCCGATTCCTTAGGGACAAATACTCGAATTTCGGTGGTGCCACTTATTATAAGATAGCACCACATCAATTCTTGAAGGTCTTCCTGAGTCCGTCTTTTTCGATGGGAACGATTTGTCTCCTGAACTGGGCTCCGGTGACTAACATCTTTGGAGTGGCCAGGGTCAGAAGCAGTGAAATTCACGTTCTCGTCGAGCTGCCTCAGGTCGACAGTAGAACAAGATTTGTTTTTTGGTTCTTACTTTGTCTTGTTCTCATTTTTTTTTTGCTCTTTTTAAGCCAACAGCACGTGGCGTTCTCAGACGGTCACCCATCCAAGTTTGCACCACGCCCGATGCTGCTTAACTTCGGTGATCGTACGGGAACCGGTGTGACCAGCACGCTATGGCCGTTGGCTTATTATTATTATTATTATTATTATTATTATTCGTTGTTATCAACAAAGAAACAAAGTGTACTTTGTTAACATTTGGGGAGACCTTTAATCTCTCTCTCTCTCTCACTCTCGCAAAAATTTGATATTAAAATTCTTGTTAAATTAAATCACATGGTTGACGAATGATCGTGTTCATTCATATGAATGGACAGAGTAGAAGTGAATTTAAATTTTTTTTTTTACTGTTCGAGAACTTTCTAGAACTGTTAAAAAAAAGTTTTTAAATTACTTTAATATTATTATTATTACAAAAAATATGGAAATTTTATAAGAGAGAGAGAGAGAGAAAAGGACATTTTTTAAGAAAATCGAAGGGAAAATCCGCCATTTTGTTTTTTTTTTTTAAATTGATCGATTGCCACGTGCGTTAAATTACAAACGTGTAAGGTTTTGCCAGGTTTGCCAAATTTCTTTTGGGGATCCTTAAAAATTTTTTTTATGTTGGCATCTCTCCGTCGTTTATTTCGTTAACGAATTTAACAAACATTTTGTTTGTTGGTTTTTCGGTTGTTTTCCCCAAAGGTGATCGGAGTGTATCCATCGGATGATGGCACTTGGCAGTGATTACCAACCTTACAGATATTTCATTCCCCGTTAGTTATTTTTTTTTTTTTTAAAACGTGCGTGAGGAGAGTTTCGAACAAAGGTCGCTTCGCAAAGGTCTCCGTTCACAACATTGACAATGTGTGACAATGTTTCCCCGGGGTGGCCATTTTTATAATATAGACAATATTTAACGCGATGTAGGTTGTTTTGTCGAACAATCACGATTTCTCACCTATTGCATAATCATCATCATCATCATCAAAAATCTATTTTCCTTTGTTTTCATTTATTACCCATTTTCAATTAACACCTGCTTTAATTTGTTTTCATTTGTTTAAAATGATGAAAACTTTTGGGATGTATGGACATATTGAAAAAGGAAAAAATTAATAATAATAATAATAATAATAACGAATTTATTTATTTA